GGAGCAGAGCGCGGAGCACGGCGGCTGCTCAGGGAGGGGGAAAACCACCCCCAAAATCGCTTTTTAGGGAAGCGATCACCTTCCCCGGGTGCTTACAGCAGGGGCGGCTGGCGAAGAATAAGCCCTCCGCTTCTCGCTGGATTTCTTCTTATTTTTGGGGAGGGAACGCATCGCTGACCCTGAGCTTTGCTCCGCATCGAATGCCCCCCGCCCCGGGCCGCGAAAAGGGTGGTTTTCTTTGCTTTACATCGCTCTGCGCCTGAATCTCCCCGACCTGCCCCCAAAACACCCGGGGATGGAGCTCGAAACACAACACAAAGAGCTCGTGTAAAACCCACGTTCAAAACCGTCGCCACCGGCAGCGTTTCCACTAGGAAATAAAATATCTCCGAGCGAAAAAAAAAAAACCTCTCCGTGGAAATCAAACCATTCCCCTTCAAAGAAAATCAGTCCCGGCACGAGTGCCCTCTCCCCCCCTCGCAGTATCTTTTCAGAGTGTGAAGATTTGGTTTCCGATGTATTTATTATAGCCAGCAAACGTTGAAAATGGAAATATATCGCCCCGGGTTTTATAGGCCTCGCCGAGGGAATAGCAGAAACGTTGGAGGGTTTTAAACCGAGCCCGTGAGTTGGGGAAAGGAGAGTTTTGGGGAGGAAAAGCCGGGCCGTGTCGTGTCTGATGTACGAGGGGGATGATGGTGTGCGGGGCCGGGGGGACCGTGCCGGCCTTGGAGGGATGGAGGGGAGAGAAACACGCCGGGAAAGGGGTTGGTGGTGACACTTTATTGCTTATAAAACCTCCGCGCAGGTCCCAGAAGCACTTTCAGATTCCAGATGGGCCTCGGATGGGTTTTTGGAGGGGAGCGGACGGTTGAAGGTGCGGGTTGGCCCCCGCGGACGGGCGGGACTCGCTTTTGCTGTTGTTTGCTGGTGGTTTGGGTGGTTTCATCAGGTCCGCCCCCAGCCCCCGGAGGGGGAGAGATGCAGGGAAGGGAAAAAGAAGAAGGAGGGGGAAAAAAAAAAAAAAGATCATCTAGAGCGATGAGCCCTGCTAATCCCGGCACCGTTTGGGGCCCGTTTTGCCGGCCCGGCCCCGCATATTCCCCGCGACCACCCCCGGCCCCGCTGCGCTTCCCAACCGGCTCCTTCCCAAACCCGCTCCCCTTCCCTCCCCCTCCCCGAAACTCGGCGGTGTTTTGTGTAAAAATAGACAAATCCGAGCTTTCTTCCTTTTCCTGCGCCGAAGGTATTTTTACTAGCTAATTGCTTAAGTGAAGTCAACTTTGCGACCAGGCCGGGTGTAATCCGAGTATGGAAATGTATATAGGTGGTATTGTTATAGGCGGGCTGGGTGCTGCTCGGAGAGGGGCCGGGGTGTTTCTGCGAGCCCGGACCACCCAGGGCGAGGGGAGTGACCGCCTCACGTCCCCCTCC